TTTGTGGAATCTTGGCAGAACTGTTTAAGGTGTTGGGAGGGAAGGGTATGTGTGAGGAAAGATTACCATTTTGGTAATAATGCCAGTTATGGAAAAAACTTTTCAGACAGGCTAATCTAAAGTATTTTTAAACAGCTTTTAGCACTTAGGTCTTTGAAATAATAATCTCAGCCTCTCAATAATATATTAATTAGGTTCTAGTTTACTGTGTTCTTTTTTACTCTTGGTACACACAGTTCTACTTCTAACAAATTTAATTTTATTCTGATCCATCCCTCTGCTTTGAAGAGGCATTCTTTCCGAAATTAGCAAGTGGCTTCAAAGATCAAGCTTTCTCACAATGATCTCACTGTCATCCCCAGATGACAATACATTCACCCACCTTTCCCTCTGTCTCCTGCACACAATGTTTGGGAAGCTAGCAATAACTTCCCATTCAAGCAGGTGTTGAAAGGAACACATCTAGCACCCCTCAAAAACTGAAGCAGAATGAACGAACGAATGTATGAGTCTGTGTATGTAGATGCATTTCTAGTTAATCTAAGATTATTTAAAACAGAAATTTATTATCTTCCTTCCAAGTAAATTCCAGTAGCTCTGGGAGAATTTGTTAATTCTGCTATGATAAATTGCTCCTACAAGGTTGTGTATTCCTAATACTTCTTGCATTTTGTATGCTTTTAATTTTCTTTAGGCTATCTTAAGGTCTCATTTTTGTGTTATTGCCTGACTCCAGGCCAAAACTGCGTGGCTCATGATATATATGGACAAACACAATTTATACATATACAGAAAGAAAGAGGTCACCTATTCAGAAACTGAAGTAGTCAGAACAATAGAGTTTAGTCTAATTTTGTATTAAATCAAGGTCAACTGTTATGGAAGCAAACATACCATTTAAAAAAAAACCCAGTTTATTCAGGAGTACAGATTAGTCAGTGTTAGCCTGTTATTTCAAGAGCAAGGGGAAGTCTTCTCAATCCCTCACTAAAAAAACCTTGGATAACTGCTCTCTCTCACTGCATCAAAACATTAGGATGCAAACCTACTGTGCATTCAACACCTGTCTGCAGGAGGTCAGATCTAAGAAACAGATCGGTGCTGTTTAAAAAGGGGAACTCTTAATGCTCATATTTTTTCACTTCTTCCCTACCCCTCTGAACAGCAGACCTTAACTGCAGAGGGAGAACCAGAGGTGGGTTTCAACAGGTTCTGACCAGTTCTGGAGAACCGGTAGTGGAAATTTTGAGTAGTTCGGAGAACTGGTAAATACCACCTCTGACTGGCCCCATCCCCATCTATTTTCTGCCTCCCGAGTCCCAGCTGATCAGGAGGAAATGGGGATTTTGTAGTAACCTTCCCCTGGGGTGAAGAGGGAATGGAGATTTTACAGTATCCTTCCCCTGCCATGCTCACGAGCCACACCCACCAAGCCACGCCCACAGAACCGGTAGTAAAAAATTATTGAATCACACCACTGGGGGGGAACCTAAGGCTCCAGAACTTTTTATGGAATCTCTTTCATCCCACCTCACGTGCTATTTAGCCACACGTGCTAAATAACAATAGCACAACATTCTGCTACTCGCAAGGCAAGAAAATGTGAAAGGCTTTTGCCCTGCCAATAAGGAATGCCCATACTCTCATGTGTGGGAACAGGGACATCCAATGCCCTTTCTTGCAGCAGTTAACATTTGCTACTAAGGAAGGTCACTCCAAACTGGCCTCTTTAAAGTAGCAGATCTATCTATCTATCTATCTATCTATCTATCTATCTATCTATCTATCCATCCATCCATCCATCCATCCATCTATCAGTATTTTTTTTAAACTCACTGGATAAGTTTTAATATTTTAACATACTGTATGCCACTTTGTGAGCTGTAACACTGAAAGGTGATCTATATATAGAAAGAAGTGAATAACGAATTAGTGAATTAATTACACTGGCCTGGATCCAAAGAAACATGATGGAATCAATTGGTTCATTCCAATGACCCAGAGCCAATTACCCAGAGAAGGTGATAGCCTCCCCTTCACTGGATGCATTCAACCAGATAGCCATCTGTTAGGGATGTTTTAATTTGGATTCCTGAACTGAGCGGGAGGTTGGACTCAGTGGCCTAAATTGTCCCTTCCAACCCTGTGATTCTATGAAAAGGAATAACATATATTCTTCGTACAATGAGTTCCAGCAGTCCATTGTGCAAATGAGACAGCAGTTCTACAAGAAAAAGAGCAAGTAAAGGTGTGTAGTGAATGAACTCTAGTGAGTCAAAGAAGAAATGTTCTAGACCCAAGAGTCACTTTTATCATGTGTTTATCACTTGCCCCTCTTCTCTATGTTAAAACTGCTTTCCTTATCCAAGGGGCTACCGTATTCCAGTAAGAGAACAAAGGTTAGAAGACAAACTACTGCAACTTGGGATAGGAGGAGTTGTGGGTTGAAATGAAGCTTGTTTGATTTTTTTTTTTTTTAAATTGCCATCTGAATAGAGAAGAGAACTGCTGCAGGGGTAGGATGAAGGAAAATGCACTCCCTACCTAAGCAACATTTCATAACTTCCTCCAAATTTTGAAGTGCCAGTAGTGGATAAAGCAACCTGGGCCAAGGAATGGGCCAACCCACAAAGAAGTGGGGGGGGGGAATGTCAACCTATTCTCCAAATCACCTGAAGACAAAACAAGAAACAATGGATGGAAACTAATCAAGACGAGAACCAAGACTGGAACTAAGGAGAAATTTCCTGGCAGTTAAAATAATTTATCGGTGGAATGGCTTCCTTCCAGAAGTTGTGAGGGCTCCAACATTGGAGATTTTAAAGAAGAAATTGGACAAACATTTGTCTAAAATGGCATAGGGTCTCCTGCTTGAGCAGGGAGTTGGACTAGAAGACATCCAAGGTCCCTTCCAACTCTGTTTTCTGTTATTCTGAATATGGGTGGGCACTAGAGATGAAGCAAGGGTGTCACATTTAAAGTTCAGACACCTCCAAGAATTCCACTGTCTTGATATTTCCAGTTTCAGCTATGAAATGTCCAGCCATGACAAACATCTTTTGAAAGCCTTCCTCAACTTCAAAAGTCATGTGCCAAATAACTTGGAAATGTTCTATCTCCTTGGTGGTAGAACATGTGGCCTCAGGTAGCATCTGCCCGACTAAATCAAACTGGCAAGGTTGGCACAGTCAGGGTTCCATTGATTGCCACCTATCAATGCCCCAGAAGCACACCATCTTTGCAGCAGTGCCTGGACTCTGAAATGAAGTCCCCTCCCCTCAAGAGTCAAACAGGTACCATTTTGCTGGTCTTTTGTAAGGACCTTAACTCTTTACCCAGGCTTTTGGAGAGGATAACTGATATTCTTTCATTCCCTCCCTCCTTTTCTGGGTTTACTTTGTTTGCTAACCTTGTTCTTCTATCCTGTATTATTTGTGTGTTTCCTATTGTTCTTTGTTTTTAAATGTTTTAACAACTGTAAGCTGCCCAGAGATAGTGGGAGTGAGGCTACATATAAATTGAATAAATTATGGCCTGCCACGTAGTCAGCTAAATGTTTAAGATAAATTTGGCATTTTCATCCACCTATTGAGTCCTTTATAAAGACCTGGGATAAGCAGGTATTGTGTGATGGTGTTAAATGTATTGTTGCAGTATTATTATACCAGCTAATTACATCTGGAGCAAGCAAAAGATTTTTGGACATGACAGTTTAACATAAGTAATGGGCAAAAAAGGAACAAGGGCCTAGAGGCATCATGGAGCTTCCTTATAGGGGATAAAGCCTAACAATCTACTCAAGGAGTAGCCCAGCATGCCTAGGGAATCTTGCAGTCACATTGTAGTTAACAAGCAGGGCTGCGTTATGGCAGCTAACTAAATACATCTGGATAGCCTTGTAGAAAGAACAGACTTAATGAACACCAGCTGAATAAGAGCACGCTAGCTACAACCGCTCCTATGAAGTTGTGTGTTTGAGAATAACTCAATAGTAGCTGAAACTGGTTATTCTCATGTTCTAGCAGAGAGTATTCAGATTCATGGATTCTTTGCTGCCTGAATTCTAACCTTTGTTCTCTTATCTTTGCCTCCTGGAACCTTGCCCAGAAGTAGAATGCTTTGGCTTCTGTCTTCTGGACCAATTTACGGACTAATCTTCTCTATGTCCCCTTGGCCATGACTAACCCTTTTTGGAATTCGACCTTGGATTATATGTGGACTTGGTAGCAGGCAGCTTTCTGTGCACTTTTGCTTGGATTAAAGCATTGCAAGATCAATTCTAAACCTACTTGGGGAATCCGAACCTAGAGGTTGGATGAAAGTGAAAAATATATCAATCTGGGGAACAGAATGTTCTGTTTCCCTCTGGAGCATGCTGAACCTCCTTCTGGTACATGCCATGGGGGGAAAGCCTACCACTGAAACAGGACATTCTAGAGGGGAACAAGAGTTCTGTTTACAGAGCCACACATTTGCACATTTCAGCTACTTAGTCATACTCCAGGATCATAAAATCTCTATTCTGGCCCAAAGTCATATTCAATTTTTTTCTAAATGGTACCCTAGATATTGCTACATTGCTCTGAAGAATTGTGGGTAGTCAAAACTTTTAGGGATCATCTGTTTTCTGACTGTGAGACTGCTCTGAGTTTTTTTTTCCTCTCAGCTTTCACATACTGTATATTGTTTTTGGTCCCCAATGGCCATGGTGATACCTTGCAAAATCCCACAGTGGCAACTGAATTTTGAGCTGCAAAAATCTCAGTTATCGTATCATCACTCTTTGCAGCCTTGCAGGAATACTATGGAGTAAACCAATGTGCAAATGAGAAAGTTGACCCATTTTTGGTGGTGCCATTTGAACTGACTCAAAGAAAAAGTAATGACTAGTCGAAGTTATGCTGATAACAGTAAAAGGAATGACTGATGGCCTTGCCAAGCCCTAAAGAATCTTTCAGGCAACCTACTGGCCTTAAAAGAAATGAGAAAAAGGAGCTTACCTCTCCCTGGAAACTCTTCAATAGTGGAGCTACCTGTTTGCGTAAATCCTGGAAGATAAAAAAGCAAACACGTAGATTAAGAAATGGGTCATTAAAGAAAGATGGCTAAAAAAGCAACTGTTTGAATAAAACTGAAGTGTTTTCATCAGCTATTCCTATCTCCTTTTTTTTTTAACCAATTCTATCATATTAGCTGAAGGCTGATTACGTTTTTAATCAAAACATTGCAATGAGCAAGGAATGTAGCAAAAATCCATTTTAACGGGCTTATGAATCTCGCCTGATATACAATTATGGTTGTCCCAGAGGAGGGGAATTAGTTAACAAAAGCCTCTAGTAATATTGAATAATCAGTGAACTCCTTCAGTCTAACAACTCAACTGAAACAGAGCAGAGAATGACTAATGGAATGTAAAACATGTGAAGCCACATGGAAAGGGATCAAGCTAGACCCCAGTTTGAAGCATAGCCTCCTTTTGATGTGCAAGGAATTAGACATTATTTATTTAATGTGCATGTGAATCTCAATGTAACAGAAACACATGGTTTAGCAGTTCACTTGCTTTTTTCCAGTATATTTATTTTCAAAAACCAATTTTTGAGCAAGTTTAACACTCCTGTACCAAAATTTGGTATCACTGTATTTATTATATATTATTGCTGTGTATAATATACATACATATATACATATACACACACACACACGTATTTGCTTCCCAGAGAAGGATGAATGGAAAAAAATTCACTCTTGCTATTGTTCATCCCACCACCAATCTGCTGGCAGCCATATATCCAAATTTGTTCCCAGCAAGATTCATGATACAATTATCTCTACATGGCACTAAATATTTGAACAAGTGCTAGTTAACACAAATGACTGGAATCATTCACGAGTATCATAAATTAAATTAGTAGCATCATTCTTCAAAATATGTATTAGTGTTTGCTAGAAGGAAACAAACAAAAAACAAAAAATCAAGGTTGACAGAATAGGAAGCTTGCTGGCAAGTGAATAATAAAGCAAGTAATAACAGGAATATACTTGTTCATGAACAGATACCCTTCTGTGCAAACAAAACAAAACAAAACAAAACAAAAAACCCTATCCTAAATTACAGTGATAAGTTTTAGGGACAAACTAAATGTAAATCATTTACGGATTTTAAAAGCTGTTGCTCCCACAGCACCAAAAGCAGGACTAAAATGGGGGTGAAAGATTTCAAAGTCTAGATCTTTTAATAAGAACCGCAATATATACCAATCCCAATAAATTTTAATAATCCCAAATAATAACAGTACAGTAAAATGAGGAAATAAAATGAAAGTAAAATGAGGAAGGCTTACAAAGTCTAAAAGAACTGCAAGAACAAAACAGACAAACAAGCATATCGAATAAGCATAAAATCTTCTTTGTTCATTATTTTTATTACATAGCACAATTCAAAATGTGAGAACATGTAGTTTTCCTAGAACTATTTCTAGAATTATTTCAACACCTTTAAAAATACATTTTATCACTTTGTATGTTTAATTTTCCCCAACTGAAAATATTTAAAGATATGCAAAATGTGAATAATGATTGAAAACATGGCCATAATTCATTATTTGTATGCGTTGTTGTATCATCTCAAACTTGTAATGTTTCAGAACAAAACAGGAATCATTTTTTCCTATGTTAAACCAATAATCTCTTTTTACAGTCAGATTGCTGATCCGTTTCATCTAGTATCACATATTCTCAAGGTTAGAGGTTCTCTGATCCTTGCTGGCTACAAGACATAAGAAAGACAAGTTTGGGACTTTGCCAGCAATATCATTATCTGAGTCTTTTCTGTGGCTCATATACCTACTGTTGTGGCTCCGTTACCTGAGCCTGTGTCATCGGCAGGAGAGGACTCTGAGAGTGAAGGAGAGGAGTTGGCAAGGCCTCCCTCTCCAGGACCCTCCTCTCTGGCAATGCCTTCAGTGTCCGCTGAAGGGCAAGAGATAGGGCTGGGGCCAAGCACGTCCATGCAGCCACAGGTGGACAGTGATGAGAGTAATGAGTCTTGGCTGGATCCACACCAGCGTCGCAGAGATAAGCGCGTGCAACAGAAGAAAAGGCGTGCCCGAGATTAGGCTGAGTCACTGGACCACACCCCACAGGATATAAAAGGGAGCATGGTGGCCAGTCAAACCTTGTGACGAACAAAGCTGAAAGCTTCCACGCCATTCTGCATTGCCGGACTTTTTGCTATAGACTTTGCTGGATTATCTCTGGACTTGATTGACTCTGTAATTATTGAGCTGTTTCTTTTGATGTACCAGGAGTGGGGAGAAGTTATCTCTCCTCTTCGTAAATGATAAACTCTTGGCAGGCAGCCACTAGGTTGTTGCCAAGTTCCGTTATCATAAGGAAAAGGATTTTGCTGGCTGGTTTGGTCTTTAACTCTTGAACGTCTGTTGGTGTGTGTGCGTGTGGTTGGGGACAAAACACCTACCTTGAGTAAGACAGAGTGGTGCTTAAAAGTTTATAAGCCTTTTTTTGAATGTTCAATATTTCTGCATAAATATGGCCTAAATCACCATCCCACTGATGCACCCATCCCCCACCACAATCAAAGCCATACTTGCTGCCGATTGTCCTGGTTTTCCCTTTCCTTGCACTTTCTCAGCATTATGGTCTTTTCAAGGGAGTCAAGTCTTTACATTATGTGTCCAAAAATATGATAATTTGAGCCTGGCGATCAGAACTCTGGATTCATTTGTTCTATAATCTGTTTATGTTATGATCCCAGCTGCCCAACCAAAGCAAGCAGGCACCTATGTCTGGCAGCAGCAAAATAGGAAAATGATGGAGATGGATGATGACTTATCGTGACAATGGCATTTTATACTGTGTAGGAGAAAGCAAAGCTAAACTATTCCAGTGTTCTACCAAGCAAACCACATGGGATCTGACAAGAAAAGGAGACCTCTAAAACAGGTGCTTAACTTTTCAAGCATAGTTGCTTCAGTACAAATTTAAAACCTTTAAATGTATTTGCATTCATTTCTTTCTCCTTGGTATCCTTTTCCTCTTTCACTATCTTTTCATAGAATAAAATATTTTATTCCCCAAAGAGTCATGGATTTCTTTTTGGACACTGCAATTTTTCATCAGAGAAGACAAGAGGGACAATATCTGATGAGTGAGGGGCTTGCTTTCTGAGGCTAAGCAGCTGTCACATTAATAAACATCAAAGAGAATTGGTCATTTTTAAGGAGGATCCAGAGAAAACCCTAGGTTCAATTTCTATCCAGTTAAAGAATTGGATTTAAAAAAAAGGCAAAGCTTTCCTGGTCAGTTGTGCCTGTCTCTAAGGCATGGTGCTCATGTCTGTTTCTTGGCCAAGGGAGCCAGTGTTGTCCAAAAACAATTTCCATGGCCATGGGGTCGGCACAGCCATGGTGCAACAAATCAAATCAAATCAAACCTTTATTGTCAATGCACAACATGTGTACAATGAGATTGAGTGAGCCTCCCTTGGTGCAGCCCCCCCGAAACACAGAATACATCTCAATAACTCAATAAATAAAAGAAAAAGAAATCCCTAAACCCAAATAAGTAATAACTAGCACACATTCTCATATACATACAATCAGGTCCAGAAATATTGGGACATCGACACAATTTGGCACATATGCAAACTGCTGTAAGTCCTACACCGTTCACCTGAGTTGGATGTACATACCCTCAAATTAAAGCTGACAGTCTGCAGTTAAAGCACATTGTATTTGTTTCATTCCAACTCCATTGTGGTGGTGTATAGAGCCAAAGATGTTAGAATTGTGTCGATGTCCCGATATTTCTGGACCTGACTGTATATATGAGCCATGGTGGCACAGTGGTTAGAGTGCAGTACTGTAGGCTACTTCTGCTGATCACCGGCTGCCAGCAGTTTGGCAGTTCGAATCTCACCAGGCTCAAGGTTGACTCAGCCTTCCATCCTTTCAAGGTTGGTAAAATGAGGACCCAGATTGTTGGGGGCCATATGCTGACTCTGTAACCTGCTTAGAGAGAGCTGTAAAGCACTATGAAGTGGTATATAAGTCTAAGTGCTATTGCTATATAACATTATATTATATTACGCTGGTATGAAAATGTTACACGTTGCGCTGGCCCTGCAAGTCTATCATAGTAAACCTAATTTTGGTGTTATGTTGTGTTCAGAAGTCTGACAGCCCACGGATAAAAGTTTTTTTTCAGCCTATTCCACAAAAGTGGAACTTATTTATCTACTTGCATTTGCATGCTTTCAAACTGCTGGGAAAGTAACAGAAGTTCATCCCATCATACAGTGTTTGAGTCTCGAACCCAAGCTGTTAGCTCTCCAGCTGACAAGCTCAGTGTCTTTAACCACTGAGCCATTGCACCCAAAAAAGAACTAGATACTTAGTAATAAAGTTTGATTAGTGAAAAATCACTAATCTTAGCGATAAAGTTTGTTTCTTGGGCCAGTCAACTTTTCTCAGTCCTAGAAAGAAGCAATGGCAAATAGTTTCTGAAAAATCTTGCCAAAAAATTGCAGGGACTTGTCTGAGAACTGGACACAATTGGAACCGAAGAAAAAGAAGTTTGATAAGGACAAATTGAGTTAGCATTTTTTTTAAAATTTGATTTATATGCCGCCCTTCTCCAGAGACTCAGGGCGGCTTACAATGCACTAAGCAATAGCCTTCATTCTTTTGTATATTTTATACAAAGTCAGCTTATTGCCCCCACAACTGGGTCCTCAATTTACCTACCTTAGAAAGGATGGAAGGCTGAGTCAACCTTGAATGGTTCAACCTTGAACCATTCTTTTCTGACAATAAGAAATCAACAGCAGAGGTCTCAAATAATATTTTTAAAATTCTCCATATTGTTGCCAAACACCCTACTTGGATTTGTCCCTTTAGTCGCCTGCTTAAATAAAAAACAATGAATTGGTGTATAGATTTGGTAGAAGCAGATGGTTTGTAAGGATGGATAGATTCAGCTGTATTTCCTTTACTTTTTCTTATCCCATAGCTAATTTCTTTGGCTT